TCTCAAAAAAAAAAAAAAAAAGATTTCAGCTGCAATAATAATTATCTTTGCCAATTATGAAATTAACATAATAGATGTATTTCTTTCTTTTTAAAAGTAAAACATAAAAAACTTACAGAAAAATCAGGCTGGCCATGTGGCTCACACCTGTGATCCCAGCACTTTGGGAGGCCAAGGCGGAAGGATTGCTTGAGGCCAGGAGTTTGAGACTAGCCTGGGCAACATAGCAAGACTCTATCTCTATTTAGAAAAAAAAACTTATAGAAGATTCATAAGCAGTACATTCTTCTTAATGAAAAATCAGATAATATCAAAGAACAAAAGGATTCTGTAGTATCCCCAGAGATAACTGTTGTGAATATCTTGGTATATGTAGATGTGCATTTAAATTTTATGACAATTTAATGATTTTTTAAAAAATTTCTCTTTGTAATTTATTTTTAACAGGAAATACACCTGACACCATCCACTGACTTCTATAAGAAATTAGCCTTGGACTGTTCTGGTCAGCAGGTAGCCGTTGACTTATTCCTTCTCAGTGGACAGTATTCTGATTTGGCTTCTCTGGGTAAGTTCTTTCTAATGATTGTTTTTTTCTTAAATAAATGTCAAAATGGTAATTATATGATAGTATTCTAAATAGAGGACAAAGTAAAAGAATTTTTATTGCCTCGGGAGAGTTTAGTCAGTTTAGTCTACTGTAAACCCTATAGTCTTCTAGTCTAAACATTTAGTAATAGAGAAATCTCTATTACTATTAGAGATTAAATACTACTATTTAAAGGAATGAAATATTCTTTTCTTTTAGAGCCTAACTAAGCAATGTTGAAATATTCTTTCTGACAGTTAAAGAAAGATTGATTCAAATCCCTGCAGTTACTTTGCTGTAATAAAGGTAGCTAAGGGCACAGTTTAAAAGGAATGCGTGTTCTTTTCCAGGTTGTGTTTCTCGTTACTCAGCAGGCAGTGTCTATTACTACCCCTCTTACCATCATCAGCACAACCCTGTCCAAGTGCAGAAACTGCAGAAGGAACTACACAGATACCTCACTCGCAAGATTGGCTTTGAGGCAGTCATGAGGATTCGGTGCACCAAAGGTGGGGACGCTTTTGTTTACATAGGAGAGAATGATGTTTTTGATACCAGTAAATGTACACATTTTTACGTATTCTTATCTTATAGGATTTGCCCTAATAAGATCTTTCGTCGACTCTGTGGAATGTGCAGTTAAGAGAAGAAACACTATGAAAA